AGAAGCCAGGATGAGCCCCTAGTTCATCCTCCAGCTCTGTCTGCCTCATTGATCCAGTACTGCTGAGTCATCATGAGCGGAAGAGGGAGAGAAGAAACCAAAGAATAGGAAAGTTGTGTACATACGAGGTGTTGGAGAAAGAACTTCAGCAACTTTCTCACATCACCAAAATCCTCGTGTCAAGATTCTGTCCAAATTGGTAGAGCAAAACAGTGCTCATTGTGCCCTATCTTCAAGTGTGTGAGGGGGACACAGCCTACTGTAGCTTTTGGAGACAACCGCACTTTCCTCAGGAACGCCCTGGAGAAAGATGAGGCTTACTGCTCCCATAAAGAGTTACAGTCTCGGGAACCTACAGGGAAGTTCAATCCTTTCTTACAAGGTTGCCAGCGGTCAGAATCAACTCAGTGACAGCAAGTTTGATACTTTCCTGTGAAGCACAGACACCCTGAGAACAGTGCTGGAAGGAATGCTGTCTGAGAGAAAGCCCAAAATACCGAGGTCCTTACCCGTGGGCCTTGTTTGATCTTTTCCTTCCTCTGAAACCAAATGGTGATCTTAAATATCCGAATCAATCTGACATGGTAGACAAGCAGCTCCTCATATCTGCTCAGGGGACAAAAGGGCCATCCGCTAACTGAAGGTGGCTTCAACCTGTCGTTGCATGGCCTTCTGGTGATTTCTGCTCCCGGTGAGGGTGACAAGAACACAAACTGGCAGGTGACTCCCTGGTAACTCTTGCACAGGGAGCAAACGGTTCCAATTAGAGACGTGAAGAACAACAGTCAGGATGTTTGACCACGTTCTTTAAAGGGATGGAGCCATAAAAACCGTGGCAGGGAAATGCCTTCTGAAGGAGAAGCCAACACGTGTGTGTGCATGTGTGTGTTTGTGTGTGTGCGTGTGAGCACAAAAACAATCAGCTTTAAAGAATTCAAAATAAAACACAGATTTCAGTTGTTATTTTGCAGAGCAGTAGGGCTCCATCCTGCCCATTTTCACAGCAGCAAGTGTCTTGATCGAATTGTTTGGTGGTTGTTTCCTCTCCCCCGTGGACAATGCCATGCACCCGTAGGGCATGAGCCAGCGAGTGGAGAGCACGGCTCACCGTGGTTGTTGGTAGCTGTCGTCTCCCCTGAGGTTGAAATGCCGCCTTGTCAACTCCACATTTGGGGCCACAATGGAGAGAAAGTTCAAAGGCAGGTGTCTCAGGCCTCCCCTTCCACCTGCCTCTGACCGAGGCACAGAATGCAGGTCTTCATCAAAGTTCTAGATCACTGGTTTCTGGTGAACAGGCTACCTGTGAACACCTACCTGTGAGCAGTTAAGAGATTTCCTTATACTTCTATACATGTAGAAAATTATAAGAAAAATTCTTATAGCTTTGTAGGTAATCGTGTTAACTATAAATGAGGACAGTTTTCTATGTTCTGTTTCCACCTGTATCTGTCACTCATTTATCCCGGTTAGGATTTCCAGTATGGTGTTGCATAAGATTGGTGACAATGGACACACTGGCCTGGTCACCATCACAGCAGGAAAGCATTGTGGGGGGGTGTTTGTTATAAGAGCTGTAAAAGCCCCCAATAAAATGATTTTAAGAAAGAAAGAAAAAGGTTATTTTAGCTTTGCCTGTTGCTGGGTCGTTGAAAGTTTAGATCATGAATGGATATTGAATTTTGGCAAACGTTCTTTCTTCGATAGCAATTGAAATGATTGTGTTTTTCTTGTTGAGGCTGTTCATCGGGCAGATCACATTGATTTTTATAATATGTTGGTCCAATCTTGCATTCCCATAACAAATCCCCTTTGGGAGATGATTCTGTCTTCGTATAGTGCTCTCCAAACCACAGCAACACATTCTAAATCTTAATATACACTAAGATTGATTTTTAATCCAGCTTTATTAGAAATAGTGGCCTGTCATTTTATTTGCCTAGTTTTTGTCTTAAAGTAATTCTGGTCTCACAATATTTGGGAAGTGTCCCCTTTCCGATTGGGGTTCGTGTCACCGGCTCTGACCTTTGGTGAGCGATGGTTACAGCCTCAGCTCTGGTTTCAAAGTGGGTAGTCACTTCCCCCTCATTTCACTCTGCAGGGTAAAATTCCCACATGCAGAGTGAAGGAGTGAGCCCGGGAGTTTTTAAAGAACTCGATACATTTGCTTTGAAAGCGCTTCTTTCTCCATGGCCTCTGGTTGCTTTCTGGTTCCGTGGGATTTCCCTTGCTGGTCCTCTGTCAGAGAGCCGAGACACCTGCTTCCCCCACTTTGCCACGCACTCTCTGTTGACGAGGCCCACGTCTCTGGTGCCAAGCCCAAGAGGCGCATGGCGAAAGGCACAGTGAGGGTTGACCTCCTCTTCTTAGCCCCACAGTTATCTCCAAGTAGAGAGGAAGGCTCCTTGTCCTCAGAGATTTAGGCGCCTGCCAGCCGCTGCCGTTATCACTGCTGGTGCCCAGAGACCCCTTACCCACTCCTAGAGGCACCACGAGGAGCTTTTCCTGAAGCCCTTGCTCCCTGCTCCTGTTGTTCTCTTCCAGATGGTCGGCTGCCTGGGACCCAGGCTGGGGAATAACGGAGGGAAAAGGCCCAGGCTTGGAACAGTCAGTTGGGTGGTACTTTCAGTGCTAGCTTCTTCCCCAAGCTACCTGCCATCATTTTCTTTCCAGAACCCTCAAATCGCAGCAGCACACACACAGACCAGTGGCATTCAGGGGAAGAGACTGGGTGGCGTGTGCCAACTCCCTCCCACTCGGCTCAGATGCTTGCCCATCGCATTGTGGTCCCCAAAGCCACGTAGAAGTAGCGAGTTGACGTTAATTTAAAAATCAAGGTGCAAGGTGTATTTCTGTGCTGTGGTGGTGCTGGCTGTGGAGTGATGTTGAGTTGATTAGGGGTCATAGTGTGTTAGGCTGGGATTTCTAGAGAAGCCCAAAACTAGGTACACGCATCCATGTATGAGAAATATCTTTATATCGTGAGAGAAAGTTATATCAAGGAAGTGACCCCACCCAGTCCAGTTCAAGTCCGGGGATCAGATAGCAGCCAGAGCCCCCTCCAGACTCACAAAAGTGCAGGTCCGTGAAGCAGAGGAAGGTTGAGTGGGAAGCGGGGAGATCCCAGCCGATTGGCGCAGTCACATGGATCCAAGCTTGGCCGGGAGCTGAACATGACAGGGTGCAAGGGCCGCCCCCTGAGCCAGACACAGAGTCTGGGCAAGCAGGAGGGTGAAGAGGGGCAAAGGAGAGGGAAGTTCTCTACAGCACCTTTTATAAAAAGGCCAAAACCCAAGGAGACCTCCTTAGGCTATGGCCTGATTGACCGATTAAACTGTACCCCTGCCTCCACGCAGGTGCGAGGTGACAAAATCTAACCATCACACAAAGCAACCGTGTGACAGAGTAGCACTCCCCCTCCTCTGGGGTCCCTAGGCGGTCTGTCATCTCCATGAGAGCAGACTGACAAGCCTTCCTCTCTAGACGAAACGGCACTGTTTCTGTTAGCAGGTGAGCGCTTAACCGCGTACCCCAAGGGTGCCTTGTTGTGAAGATACAAAAGGCAAAGTCAGAAAACAGAAAGACAGCCCCCCTGAATCTTGACCTTCCTCGAGAACGCAGTCAATAAGAAATCTAAACCTTTAAGGCCCATCACCATTCGGATGGCTTTTCGACTCCTTTGTTTTTCAGAAAAGGAACTCTAGTGTTGCAGTGGTTACATGCCGAGCTGCTGACCGCAGGGTCGGTGGTTCAAACCCACCAGTCACCCCACAGGAGCAAGAGGAGGCTGTCTGCTCCTGTAAAGAGTTACAGTGTCAGGAACCCGCAGGAGCAGTTCTGCCGTGTTCTGTAGGTCACTGAGTTGGAGTCCCCTCCGTCATGGTGGGTTTGGTTTGGGTTGGCCCTTCCATAGTTGATCTTGGCTGGAATAAAATATAAGTAAAAATATATACACTTCAGTTAGTAGCATTATTCTTTATATAAATATCATCACTTTTTCTGCAGTCAGGCTTAAGGTTAATAAGCATTTAAACAACATTAAAATAATTGTATTATCATATATGCCCTGTACAAAGGTTCATCTTAAGAAGGATTCATTTCTCTAAGCTATCAAATAAATCCACGAGAAATGCTAGAAACGTATATTCTTGATATTATTTCCTTCTTGTCCCAAATGTCCTGTCTTATTCTTTCCACCTATTTCCCGTGTATAATTCTTCTTTCTTGCCGAGACATCTTTCTTGTACAAGTCCCCTCAAAATATTGGGTAAGTACTTTGGTGTTTCGCAGATGGGAGGAGAGAGAAGAAAATGTTTGGTGCCACTTAGGAATGCCCTCTCTTACGGCAGTTAGATTTTATGTCAACTAGAACCTGTGTAGGGTACAGTCTGAATTGCCATTCGGGTCACAGCCTGAGGACACCGCCTTGGGAGGGTGGCCTTTTTTATCAGAGATACTGGGAGCTGCTTCTCTCTCTTGCCCTTCACCTTCCTCCTTGCTGGGATTCTGTGGCTGCCTTCAGGGGTGGCCCCATCTGGGCCACTGACCTGTGTTGCTGTCGGCCCCCTGCCATGTCTCCACCAACTTGGATCCATGCAACCCTGCCCGCGCCAGCCTGTCACCTCCCTGCTTCCCGAGTCACCTCTCGGCCTCGCCGGCCTGCAGTTGTGACCCAGAAGAAGGCCCTGGCCACCATCGGGCCGTGCACTTGAGTTGGGCTGAGCTGCCTTCTGGATATAAAATTACTTCTTGCTAGAACATTCTTTGAGAGAGCTATATATGACTGTTACTGATTCTGTTTCTCTGAACAGCCCACCCTAACACATGAGGGTGTTCTTTCTCTAAAAATGTATTATCTTAGAACGATATACTATCCACATGTGATAAAACATGTGGACAGTCTATTGTCAGCTACCTGATTGGAACATAACAATTTGAAAATGTGGAAGGCACGTAGAGTCCACCACAAAGAGAAAGTAGTCGATGCTTTCCTCTTCTTCCAGAAAATTCTAACCATGATTCCCACTGACGAAGAGAAGCAGAAGATCCAGGAAGCCCAGCTGGCCAACCCAGAGGTGCCCCTGGGCAGCGCCGAGCAGTTCCTCCTCACGCTCTCCTCCATCAGCGAGCTGTCGGCACGGCTCCACCTCTGGGCCTTCAAAATGGACTATGAAACTACCGAGAAGGTAAGCCGAGCGGCCACGGCCGCAGCCTCTTTGCTGAGGAAAACCTGCTCGGTGTTTTGGGTGGTGCCGGCCGTGTCTGGGGCAGGGCTTGACGGGTGCATCGTAGCGTGTGACTCAGGTGTATCCATGTTCCGTGACCTGCTGGCGGGAAGTATCTGAAATATGCTAACGTCTCTATCTGCACCAGCCTCAGCACGGCAGGGCTGATTACAATGTCTTCTCCCCCCTCTGAATGCTCCTTAGAGAAACTTGGAAACTACAGAAAGCGTAATATAAAACATGCCCTTGTCATGGCACAATCAACCATCACATCACCCTTCACTCTGGCCGTCATTACCCAAGCTGTGACTGGCGGTGGCAATTCACAGGTCACTCGGTACCTTCCTGAGCCTGTGCTCATTAGAAAGCGGAGGTGAGACAAGTTGCCCGAGGTGCAGACCTGAGAAAAGGCGGAAGGAGCCCTTGTGGAAGGTAGAAGGAGGGGGCCCATCTGGTGCAGGAAGTGGGAGGAAGCAGGGTCGTCCTTTGCAGATTGAGCAGAAGAACTCGTGGTTGATGCACAGGGAGAGAGGAACTGGAACTAGGTGGGAGCTTCACGGAGGGGAAGTGTCTAGAGAAGGCGGATTTAAAAGTGCAGATGGACGAAGAGGCTGCATGGTCTCCAGCTTCCTGCAAAGGAGGTAGCAAGTACTTTGCCCAGGGCCACAGAGAGGGCAGTGGGTTTGGGGACCTCATGGGGGACTGTGGTATTTTCATCAATTTGGGGGCTAAGCAGGGGTAGGATCTAAGACTGCCAAGGTGACTCGTGTGCCTTGACCACAACCAGTCCGCACATTGAGGGGACTTTCTCTAACAAAATGAGGTCGCATCAGGGAGGAAATGGACAAGTGGGTCAAGCTCTTCTGGGAATTGGCAGAGCCAGCCAGGCTGAAGCTCGGCTGGAAAGAACAACGCGGAACCTCCTGGCTTTGGGGTTGCGACCAGGGGAGGCCCACCGTAAGGACATGGGAGGCTACAGGGAAGGAGGGGGTGATGAGACCATGAAGCTACAGAGCAGACTGGGTGTCAGAAAGAATGGCAGTGAGGAAGACAGTGGCCTCCCGCTCTAAGAGACAGCCAGTCTCCAGGTGACTAGAGGGGAGGTTATGGGACCTAGAGTGGCCCAGGGACAAGGGGACCACCGTTTCCCACAGGGGCAGAGAGGAAGATAGCAACGCTAAAAGAGCAAATGAAGAAAGAACCCTGTACTTCAGCCCTGGTCAGGATAGAGACTGGGGAGGGCGTGACCGAAAGGTCTTGTCTGGGTTGAAAGACCAGCAGGAATGAGGGAAGACAGCGCTGGTGACACCGGCACAGTCTCCTGTTAGCAACAGCTGCCCCCCGAGACTCCTGGTTTCCAATGGAGAGCCATGGATGATGACATCAACTGCCCGCGCCACCTTCCAGCACCTCTCCACACCTGAGAGCCCACGCCCATCCCAAGAGATGGCCCTGTGCTCAGAACTGCCTTCCTTATCACCTCGGGCTAAAGTTTAAAAGAACAAAGTAAAAAACAAAAAACACTCTTCATTATCATCATCTTTGTTTTTCAATAACTGAAAGGAAGTGGCGGAACCGCTTTTGGACCTGAAGGAAGGAATAGACCAGCTGGAGAACAATCAGACCTTGGGCTTCATCCTGTCCACTCTGTTAGCCATTGGGAACTTTCTGAACGGAACCAATGTAAGTCTTTCACATTCCTTAGCCTCTTGACTCTCGGGGCCCTCCTCGGGGTAAGCCTCTGGTCCACCAACGCACAAGTGAGCAACTTTGGCATCATCCTCCCCAAATATTGAGGGAATGTTGGCCGTAACATAGCCAGGCCTACTTATTTGAACTACATCTTGATGCATGGAAGTAAACATCCCAAAATGAGCATACTGTTTCTTACACAGCTTGACTACTCTCAAATTTGACATTAAGGATAATATTTTATGTGCTTTGTTGAGGTCCCCCCCCCCAGTCTTATCGATTAAATGTGTGTGATCCACATTCTGATAATTAAATGAAACATGTTAATTGGTCCGAGTGACTTGGCTAGGAATTAGGGAGACAATAGGACCAGGGAGAAGGAAGTGCAGATACCCAGAGCATCCTGACTTAAGGTAGAGTCTCAGGTGGTCCTATGAGCCAGAACTGCCCCTGTTCGTTTGGTTTGGGTCCCGGGAAGTGGCTGGATTAAAAGGGTCGTAGGCCCATCCACTTGTGATCAGTTCAGAAGAAGGGGCTCTGTGGCCTGAGAAGCTTCGGTCTCAGAAAACCGAAATGTGTGATTTTCTTAAGAGCCTGCATGAGATGTGTGTTCCCTGTCTTTTTTTTTTTTTTTTGTATGTTTATGCCACAGGCCAAAGCGTTTGAGTTAAGCTACCTCGAGAAGGTTCCAGAAGTCAAAGACACGGTGCACAAGCAATCGCTTCTCCACCACGTTTGCACCATGGTGGTGGAAAATTTCCCAGACAGCTCTGATCTGTACTCGGAGATCGGGGCCATCACCAGGTCAGCCAAGGTACGTCTTGCTAGAACTCCAACAGTCCTCTCTGTGCAACCCTTGCTCTGTGAAGCCAAGCACCAAATGCTGCCTGCATCCCTGCTCCAGCAAGCTTGTGAATATGATTTGTTGCGTGCCGTGTCTGAAGAACTTGTAAGGTATCTTTTCCCTCTCTCTGCTTCTCCATCAGATTCTTTCCTACTGAGATATGTAAGGCAGCCCGCCATCCCAGTCATGACTCCCCTGTCCGCTAGTGGGCAGTGTTGCTCACCAGGATGGATTCTCCCCATGACTACATGCCACACCTTGCTCTCACACACAGTCCTGGAATCAATTCCAACTCGTAGTAATCCTAGAGGACAGGGTAGGACTGCCCCTGTGGGTTTCTGGGACTGTAACTCAAATAATTTTTAAAAATTATTGGGGGCTCTTACAGGTCTGACAATCCATACCTCACTGGTATCAAGCACACTTGTACATACATTGCCATCATCGTTTTCAAAGCATTTTCTTTCTGCTTGAGGTATCAGCTCCTCATTTTTTCCTCTCCTTCCCCCACCCCCCCACCCTTGTAACCCCTTGAAAATTATATATTATTTTCTTATCTTACACTATCCGTTCAGTCTCCCCTCACCCACATTTCAGTTATTTGTCCCCCTGGGGGGGTTTATGTGTTGATCATTGCCATCTGTTCCCCCTTTCTCCCCCTACCTTCTCCCTACCCTCATGGCATTCACTACTTCTGGGGCTGCCTTTAGGGAGTCAAAAATGTGAGGTTGCATTTTGCTCTTCCCAAGACTCCTGTCAGCTATGGAGCCTAGAAGTGGAGCATTTCCACGTTCTGTGCACCCCCCAGATGGGTGCAGATCTGGTGCTGAAGAAACAAGGCTGGATAGTGTATCGACGCAGGTTTGTAAGTTTAGTACATAGTTCATGTCTGTGTGGTCTTAGGGTGTATTAGAAAACAGGCCATTGCAGTTGTGGGAACCCCCATGGCCTGTGCTGCAGGAGACTCTCTGAGGCTGAACACCCCCCAGAGGAACGCAAGCGTACTAGCACAAGGAGACGTGAAGGTTCTGGGGGGGACTGGGAAAGGCAGCTGGGAGAGCTCGTGTGGGGCACAGGAGCCAGGCCAATGTGGAGAAAACACCAGGTGAACTGCAGAGCAGGAGTTAATGGCAGACCGTCCGTTAGTCCTGGGGCGTGCGTGGTAGGCAGAGGAGGGGAAGCATGGAGAGACAGGAGCTCCACTAAGTGCCCTACACAAAGCCCTCCTTCCCACGCCGCCTTCGAGAGAGGCCTGGAAGCCTCCTTCCCCTGCCTCCAAAGCCATGGGCTTGGCAGCTGCCAGGAGCACCCACAGAGCATCCTGCTTGTGGCCTGACCATGAGGGAGGAAGAAGCATGGGCAGCCACTCTACAGGCCAGAATTCTAACAAACGGCACCCGAGACACACAGCCCTCTGCATTTAACAGGCACCTCGTGGGTTTCACGTCGGGCTGCTACCAACCATTCCTCAGGAGAAAGACGAGGCTTTCTGCTCCTACAAAGATTAACAGCCTCAGAAACCCACAGGGGCAGTTCTACTCCATTCTGTAGACTGTGCTAAGTGGAATCCACTCCATGGCAGAGAGCTTGGTTCGGTAAGGCTATCTTAGGAGCCCTGTGCAGCACCTAGCTGCTCAGGGGCAGTTGAGCAGTTTAAACCCGCCAGGCACTGCCTGGAAGGGCTGTGGCAGTCTGCTTCCACAGAGATGCCAGCTTCGGAAACCCTGTGGCAGTTCGACGGTGCTGCAGCAGGGACCGGGGCTTACCCAGGGGCAAGGGGCTTGGTTTTGCTGCTGTCCTGTCGTTCTGGGGTCTTTCACAGACATGACTGTAGTCTCCTAGCCGAGGCAAAAAGCCTGACTCTCCCCAGCAAGGGGTGCTCCACTTGCTGCCTTGCCACACCCCATGAGCTCCTACCTCCTCAGGGGTGTCTAAGGGCAAGCCTGGTGCTGGGATGCACCGGCCTGGCTGGGCGACCAGCTGACGGGGGCTGCTAGGCCTCCAGTTGCATCAGTGAGCCCAACTCTCAAGCAACAACTCAGTGAACCACGTCTCAGTGACAGGCTCCCCACCTGGCTCCCATGAGCCATGTGCTTGTGTCCCTCCACGGTGGCCATGTGAGGGCTCACGGCGGGCTTGCTCCTGGCCAGAAGCCCTCTCCCCATCATGGCTGTGCTCCCGCTCTGCGCTTCCCACACCGCTGCCCAGGCACCACTGCTTATAGGCACAAAGCCCCTCACTTGTGTTTGGGAAAGGGCAGTGCCGAAGAACAGACGGCAGAGAGAGTTCTGCCAATGACGACGAGACTCGGCTCTGCCTCCTGTGTCTCAAAGGCCACCTCGCCGTTGTAGAAGCCAGCTGTCCATCCAGTGTGTCCGGGGCCTCTTCCTGCCCGGCGCTGGCAGGCTTCAGTCCTTCTTTTTGGTCTTTGTAGTTCCTTTACCCTAAACAAGAAGACCAAACCGGCTCCATTGTATTGTAGGACCCTAAATGCTCAGGGCTTCTGGCAAAATCTTGTGAATCCCAGGGCTTTACCTTCTCAAGACATCTCTGGACACTCGTGTCTTGGCCCGTGCTCAGCAGCAGGCCACAGTCCCTGACACACGTTCTGTTCACTTGGTCCTCCCTGTTACCCTGCTGGAGGTGGGAGGTCACTCCAGCAAGTCCCCTCAGGGACACTTGCCTCTGGACCCTGCTCTCTTAACTGCCATCAAGAGCGTTTTGAAGCAACCAGGGTCTCCACTCCTCCCCTCCTTCTGACTTGGGTTTGGCCAGTCCTTACCCTCCCACCATTTGTCCCTCCATAGGCACCTCCATCCCTCCTGTCAGCTCACCTGTCTGCCTGAGTATTTCCCTTTCCCTCCCCGCCTCCCCTTCTCGTCTCTTTTCCCGGATCCACAGCTCCCTCCAGGAGACAGGCTTTCTCCAGGATTTTGTTCATGAGACATTCACTTGGGACCCACATAACCTGTAGTCTAGAAGGTCTCTTATGTTGCAAAAGCCTTGTCCCTGGGGAACTCAGTCACCTCCAGCTGTTTGTGGTCTCTGAAACCAGTGTCTCAGCTGTGCCTTGCAAACATGGCTTTCTCTACTGGCAAAACCATGCACTCACATGTGTGCACACACTCAAGCACATGTATAGACACACAAATACCCCCAGAGACATGCACACACACATACCCACACACCAATGACAGTCACCTGCTGACACACCCCACCCCCATACATATCCCCCCACATACAGGAAGACGCACCCACCCACAGAGACACACACATAACCTGTGTGCACACAGATACACACATACATGCACATGTGTATACAGAGATAGGCTCCTACATACGCTCAAACGTGCACAGATGTACAAAGAGACATACCCACAAAGGTGTGCACATACACACCTATGTGTAGACATGTACACATACCAAGACACATCTGACTGAGACACACACCACTGAGACAAGTCCAGGTGTGCACACCTGGGTAAGCTCACACATATACACGCACATGCTGGGGCACACACAGGCCTGGTGGGTTCTCTCCATCCTTGGGTGCTTGGCGAAGCTCTGTCTGTCTGTACATCTGCACAGTGAGCTGCTCCTTGAGGGCAGGATGCGGGTGTCATGTGGCATCTACCTCTGTGTGCTAAGGCGTTAGCAGGAGCGCACCAGCCTCTGGGGGGGGGGAGGCGGACGAGTGAATGAGTGAGTGGGTGAATCGTTTGTTGCACGGAATGAAAGTGCTCATCCCAAGAAGCTGGCTGCCCCGCGGCTGATCTGGCCTGACGCGGCCCTGTGGGAGTGAGCGTGGACCTCCAGCGCCACGTGGAATACCATCTTTGAAGAGCACCAGTGCTCTGTAACGTTTTATGGGACTTCGCCCGAGTGCAGGCTGTGCTTGGCTCCATGGTCGTCACGTTTGAATTTTCAGTTCGCCAAGATGTTCCTACAAACGCTTTCCCTGATCTGGCCCCCCAAAGGTGGATCCTGCCTTGGCTCTCATGGGAGAACAGTTTTGCCCCTCCGTAATTTGCTGTCAAGATAATGGCCGTTACACGCGTGAGGGATGGTTAGCCGGCCAGTGTGCTCGGCGTCCAAGATGTGCATTTGGTGTGGATCCCGGCTGTTCCCGGAGGCGCCCCGGTGCCCCGTTCAGGTCGGCGTCTGGTGGTTTCGGCACGTTTGCAGCGTTCCTCCCTCTGATTTTCAGGTTGACTTTGACCAGCTGCAGGATAATCTGTGTCAGATGGAGCGGAGATGCAAAGCCTCCTGGGATCACCTCAAGGCCATTGCGAAACACGAAATGAAGCCCGTGCTCAAACAGCGGATGTCGGAGTTCCTGAAAGACTGTGCTGAGCGAATTATCATCCTGAAAATTGTCCACAGACGAATAATTAACAGGTAGGAGGGTGGGGGAAGTGTACGGGAGACGTCAGTACAATGGCTTGTTGAAAGTGGTCTGTGAACTAGGAGGTGGAGGTGGAGCTGACTACAGACTCTAGGGAGCTAGCAAATGCCTGTTGGTACGGATGTTTTACAGATACACACTACTCAATGGCTTGAGTCCATTTATTTCTCTTTCTGTCTCTCTCTCTCACACACACACACACACACAGCACAGCACAACACCATGGAATCTTGAAGCTGGGACATGAGAGACCATTTGCTTGGACAACCCACGTGATCAGGGCATTCCCTCCTGGGTGCCAGCACCTGCTCTGCCTGTGCCCCATCACAGGACGGCAGCTGGACCTTCACCTTGGCCTTTGGGGGGTCTCAGTGCTGGGTCCTGCCAATAGGTGACCAGATGTGAGGGTCATGCAGACCTGCAGGCCCGCACCTCCTAGAGCAGGTGCCACTGCTGGCAGACCAGGAGCAAGCCCCCCTGTCACTGCCCACGTGGAGTCCTCCCTGGGATGCCCAGCCCCTCCCGGCCACTCCCCAGCCCTGGTGCTGTAAACACATCACTCATCCTTCTTCAGGTCTGCCTTTGGCTCATTTTGTGTCTCTCTTCCCTCCCTCCTTCCTCCCCCCCCCCTTCCTCCCTCCCTCTCCCCACTTCTCCCCTCCCCATTTCCTCTCTCTGTACCTCCTCTCCACTCCGACCTTTTCCCCTCCTTCCTCCCCACCCCACCCCACCCCCATCTCTCCCCTTGTTGCCCTCCTCAAACCAATATAGGACTGTCAAAAACCGGGTCGTCTCCTCTAACGCACAAGCCCTCTTCTAGCTCCTGCTATTCGGTGATTATCCTTCCTGGCTCTTGATTTGGGCCTGGAAAGGGAGCTGTTTTTAAAAACATTGGCCACGACCAGCACTAAAAAAATAAAACACAACAGAATCTTCCCTCCAGGTTGACAACGTCACTTTAATCAGGCCTTTGGGGATTTGGTGGTTCAACTGCCAATGCCCCTAACTATCCCAGCATCTAGCCCTCATTGCTGCCCTCTGCGTAAGAGCTGATTGTGAGGGGGTGGGGGGTGTCTATGCTGATCCTGGAGTCAAGCCCACGCCGTTCTCAGTGTGGCTGAAAAGGGGAGGCGGGGCAGTGGGCCTGGCCCTTCATGCTGTGTGCGGTGCACTCAAACGCCACCTTGAGAAGCAAGAGCCACCGCTGCTGAAATACACACGGCTTTCCACCCTCGCGTCACGGGATGAGTCACGGGAAGCTCTCGTGTTTGGCCACACGGAGCGTCTGACACGAAACATAGAGTGCCGCACCATGTTGGCTCTGGCCTCCCTGGTAAGCTGGCCATCCTTAAAGGACGTGTTCCTGTCTGATCCGGGTCCCTGACAGAGAGGACAGGAGTGGCCAGCGTGCCCTGCAGGCGTGTAGTGACATTGATGGAGGGAGGCGGGGTGGTGCCGGCCCGGGACACGTACACCCGGGGAGCCCTGGGTTCCATCGAGTACGCGGCAGGAGTCCACTCTGTGGAACTGGGTGACGTGACGTGTACCCATCTTGTCGTCTGGAAGTGCTGGCAGATGTGCCCCTCAGGTTAGAAGGCACTGGGGACACACAGGGACCCCAGCAGGGGCCTTCCCAAACACCACGAAGACAGTACCTGATGGGGCAGGGTTTGATCCTGTTGGGCACGGGGTCCCCATGAGTCAGGGCCACCCTGGGGCCACCGTCCACAGCAGCAGTGTCTTGTGGAAACGGGCTGGTGAGCCAAGAGCCCCCCATGCTGGCGCTTGGCCTCCGGCACTTGGAGACGGAAGCCCCTCACCCTTCCTGGTGTGGTCACTGCAGGTTCCACTCCTTTTTGCTCTTCCTGGGCCACCCGCCGTACGCGATTCGGGAGGTGAACATCAACAAGTTCTGCAAGACCATCAGCGAGTTCGCGCTGGAGTACCGCACCACCAGGGAGCGGGTTTTGCAGCAGAAGCAGAAACGGGCCAACCACAGAGAGAGGAATCGGACCCGGGGGAAGATGATCACCGATGTAAGTACCGCATGCCAGCCCGCCGGCCCGCCCACCTGTTGGCAGGGCCACAGTTTGGAGGCTGGGCCCCTGCTGTTCCTGGACCCTGTGTGTGGAAATCTGCTGCATTCAGACAAGGGAGGACCTCAGGCATTTCCAACTCCAGAGCCGATGTAGGGGGTTGATTGGGGACGTTCAACACCAGCGCGGTGGCTGGTTGCAGGCATCTGACTGGAGAAAGGGTTGAGCCGTGGTCCAACGGACTCTTGAGTCACAGAACAAGGAGCAGTAGGAGACCCGGAGGCGGTGACTCTGCGGGCGTTTCCTGGCAGCAGCTGGGGTGACTGTGTGAATTTCCATGGCTTCCTTGCTCCTGGGCTCACCCCACCCAACCCCACCCCCAATCCTCCGCTAGGGCCTGAGCCAGCCCTGGCAGTGGGTGCAGGGGGCACTCAGATGGGAGCTGCTCAGGAAGTGGGGGATGCCAGAGACAAAGATACAACTTGCAAGTCCTTTCTTCCCCCTGGGCTTTCTCAGAATGGGAACATCCATCACTTGTAAGCCCCCAGGTCCTCCCGGGTCATTCAAGCCAAAGGGAGACATTTTCTGAGGCTCGCCCTCACTGCCGATCTATTCTCACTGGAAGAGACTGGTGGCGAATAAAGGCACCCCCCCCCCCTTGATGCTCCCTCAGGTCACTCTGAGAACATGTTGAAGGACTCCCCCCTCCCCACCTCTTTCATTGCTTCATTTGATGTCCATGAAGTTGATTTATTTGTGCCTGGATTTGAGAAGTCCATTGGGACAACCCTGGAACCAGTAGCCGTTGGAGACAAAGGGAATGCAATCTCTGGTCAGGCAGGTGTCTGGGGGCGGGATGAAATCGGGGCAGACGCCCTGTTCCGGCTGTGAGCTCTGCTGTGTCCTCACAGGGTTTGGAGGGCACCCCGTGATGGCGCCTGTACGGTGCACTTTACAACTATGCTTCCATTTTAAGGGCGCTCTGAGGAGAACCAGCAACTATTCTCCTCACCATCAGCTTCCCCCGTACCCCGTGGCTGTGGAATGTCCTAGAACCCCGGATGTGCGGGCTCTCTTCTGTAGAAGGGGCCCTTTCTGCCTCCCTCTGGCAATCCTGACTGCAGCATTGCCAGCTCCTGCAGGACAGCAACTAGGAAGCAAATTGAACCCACCCACTTGGGCCTACTGTGGCCCACATTGCATTTCAAAGGGGTATTTTTAAACATTTTAAAACAGGATCGTTTATTTTTCTGGAAATGAAACACGTTGGAGGGCGAAAAAATTACAAGCCCAATATGCTTACAGTTACGAAAACACACCAAACTTCGCCGCCAAATTCTTGAGATGTTTCAAGATCCCACTAATTTCTTAATTGTGTCCTTCTCTGAAAACATCCAGGTCTCCTAGTTACAAATGTTTCTAGGTTTGGGTCAGTGTTTCTGGATGTCGACTCAAAATTGTTTAAATGCCCATTAAAATCTGGACCGTATAGGGGATCCTCATGCTCAGTGTAGCACCTGTTTTTATTTAGCAAGGTGGCATCATTCACGTTGAAAGACTGCCACCCTCTGGAGGCTTTTGGAATTGCCACTCACAGCAACGTGTGCAGACCGCAGTTGAGGGGGATGTAAGGGCAATAAAGGACAGGACTACACCCCAAGGATTTCCACAGAAAATCACACGCATGCACACACAACCATGAAGTAAATTTAGAATCTCAGAGCCCCTGAATATAAGAACTAGAAGAGACTTTAGAGAGAACTGTTTGTAGGGCGTTTGGTTTTGTTCTTTTGTTTGAGACATTTGCCTGATGGACGGTGGTCTGGAACAAGGAACCCAGTGTATCTGCAAGGTGTGCGTGTACTTAAAGTTGTAACACAGAAGGAAAAGGCGATGAACATTTCAATTAGTTCCAACAATGAAAATATTTTGGAAACATAGTGTCAATACTTAAGGTAACAACAAGCTTATTAAAAACCCATCTTTAAAAACTCCTAAACTCAGTTGTAGGTTGTAGAATAAGATATAGTGCATGGATTCAGGTAAATTGCTTATGAGGATGAACACTAAATACCAGCGCCTTTGTCAGCACCTGCATGTATCGTCCCTGCCGGGTTTTTTTCCCCCAACAGTTATTGGCCGATAACTCACAGATCGTACAATTCTACAGTTCAGTCACATCAGCACCACAGTCAGTTAAGGAGCATTTCCTTCTTCTTTGACAGCTTTGTTCCCTGCCGTGCTTTCAATGCCATATACAGGACAAAGAGAGAGGGGGCGACAGACAGGACTGAGGCGATAACCAGAGAGAAGAGTTCAGAAAGATACAACACCCCAGGGCCACCCAGCCTGTCCAATCAATTCCAACTCTCTGCTGCCCTCCCTGCCAGTTCCCCAGGCCCGACACCTGGACAGAGGCCAAGCAGCGGGTGGATTAGAGCTCTGATCTTGGGGTTAGCAGTCTGATCATCACGCGGGTTTTCTAAGACCCTCTGTGTCCTAAGACAGTGAGCTCTGAAGACCATGCATGTCAGAGTTGGCCCTACAGGCTCACCCCCTCCCTCTCAACTCCGCCAGGCTCCTGGTTGCCCTTCTCTTTTCTCCCTCGGGCTGAGCTTCTCAGTCTTGTTACTTTTTAAAGGAGAGATGCTCGCCTCTTGTTTATCATTTCTTCCTAAAAGACCACAAGCCCAGACTCTGGTAGCACTGGACCAAGGGTGAGATGTAGGCAGGTCAGGGGAGGACACGGCTGTGGGCACAGGCTCCTGGTCCTTATGCAGTGGGCAGGTGGACTCCGTTCCCACTGCTCCTGCCAGTGCCCACTTCTTAGGCATCCTTCTGCAGAAAGACAACCAGAAGTTGACTCCCACAGGGCTTTAATGTTGCATTCGCACAACGTCCTGATCACATAACGTCCCATCTCAGAGTAGACCACAGACATGAAGTGACACATGCCTCTTAGTCCTTATGTTTGTCACCAAAACCACTCCAGATCAAGCAATGATGACAACAAGGTGGGGTGGGAGCAGCAGGGCACTCCTGCATGAGACACAGCCCCCCCTTCACCAACCCCAGCCCCCCTCTTCCATGTAAAGGATGAATCGCTTTGGGGGCAACTGAGAGGGCTATGTGGCTTTTGAGCATGCAGGCCCTTGAGTGTGTGCTCATTGCTGGATAAAGAATTAAACTCCAAGATTTAAAAGGTAGTAGAGCAAGACTGCCATCTCTTGTCACAATGCCACTTGGTTTAGGCAACAAGGACCACGAGGAACCGAAGCACTTCGTCACTGCCACTTTCCAAAGCTTAGTCAATGCTCAACACAAAACAGAAAAAAAAGTCCTTGTGTTTGATTTGCTGGTCTGGCTATGACCTTGGTGAAAATACTGACATTGAAGGCATGTTTAATTCACAATTGAGAATCTTATCCTCCAGTTATTTTTCAGGAAAAAGGGTATTTAGAGTTACTTAAGGAAGTTTGTCTAGTGTCCAGAGAACCAAAGAATCTCACCTAGAAGGAGCTGAATGACAGTCGTGTTTTATTACTTCAGATTTCCAGATTAAAGCTCCTTGTGTACTTGTCAGTAGAGAGAGGAAACGCGTGTTCTACATTTCATCTCACATCTGCGTGTCGTTTTTGTATGTTGTAGAGAGCCCTTGAAGATGTGCATTCCTCTGTACTCCTGCGTTGCTCAGTGGAATTCTTTTCTGTTGCTTGCACTGATGGCTGACTTGGAAGTTTGCTTTTTAAACTGTGTCCACCAAAAACAAACAAACTAAGTCACTATTTCCAAGTTAGCAGCCATGAGAAAAAGTCAAAGTTTTGCTGTATAATTTGAATGCCCTTGTATCTTTGAGGTCTATGTGATAGCCCATCCCTGATCCGAGAACTGGTGTCTCCTTGCCAACAAGCAGGTGCTCCCATCAAAATCAACCAGAAACAGGAGATACTTTAGTACATGAGGGGTGGAGGCGGGGCGGGGAATAGGTTTATTGAGCGAGGAAGTAATTGAAAGTACATGGCATCTGTCAGATGCCCAGCATGGGGAAGGTGTGAGTGAGACCCTTGGAAAGAGGAATACGGAATATGGGATTTGTCCAAACTTGTCTATGTGTGGAAGAGTTAACTCTAGCCCAGACCAGGCAGCCTGGCCGGGGAGGAACCCAGGCCCTGAGAAGGGGGGACCACAGCTGATGAGGAGGGACAGGGGAATGGAGGTGGCCCCACTGCCTGAGACCCTCAGGCCCAGAGATGGTAGTGGGTCCCACAGGACACAGCCAGGCACGAGGGGGCACAGGGCTGGGATGGGGGTGTGTGTCTATGGTGGTCAGGAAACCAGGTAAGCTGATCAGCAACACCTCGGGTAGGGCTCGGGGAGAAAACAGCCCCACAGGCTGGTCAGTCCCTCCAGCTTTTGGTCAGGACTGGTCTTCGAGCTCGTGGGGGACTTCCCACATCAGGAGGGTGCATGGGGCCAGTGGCTTGGGATTTGACATGACGCTGAGATTGTCTTCTCTTTGCCGATGCCTGGGCCTTCTAAGCGCCCCTTCTGTCTTTTCTGTCCTGTCCCCTCGGGTAGACTGATGAAGAGGATGAAGTTGAGGTATGACTGCGTCCCAACATGACAAATGTCACATTTGACCCTCTCATGAGTCCCGTTGCATCTACGCTAACATCAGCAGCGTGACGTGTCCACCCCCCCCCACCCCCCACCCCCATGCATGTGTTTTCCTGTCGGGTTTTGAGTGATCACTAACCACCTCACGAGCGTTCCCATCATGCCGTGTCTGCCAGGGACCGAAGGGACTTTCTCAAAGTATCTCAGCGTATTCCAGAGTCTCAGCTAATCAATAGTCCCATCGAGAGTGGCAGGTGTAGCAGGGGTGGCGCCGTACTGTGTGAACAGTCTTTGTGGGCAAGGACTTCCTCTCCAGCCCCCTGCCGCCTCCTTAGGGCAACTCACCTAAGAGACCCTCGGTGAGACTAGCCAAAGGACAAGCCCAGAACCCAAAGAGGGAGTGGGCCAGGGCTACAGGCCAGGCCTGAGAAGCTGCCCCCAGCCTGTGGGCAGCCTCTGCCCCATGCCCCTGTCCTCCACTGGCTCTGCTGCCTCTCCCGAATGTGGGTGCAGGTGGAAGTTCCCCAACCAAGCAGAGGTCAGCTGGGGCAGCGCAGATGCTACACATCTCAGACGTATCCTGGGCCCAGTCGCTGTTTGGGCTGAGAAGCTGGTGGGAAAGAGGACGCCGGGTCTTTAAGGACCTGCTGTTGGCCCTACTAATCTCACTGACCATTCCTTTTCTTGGCATCGTGTCCACAGGGCTATGGTCCAGCATGCCCCTTTCAGAACCTCTGCGCCCGACGCTTTCGTGGTTCAGCTAGTGAGAGAGAATACTACCGCCGTGTGTTTACATTGCTCATGAAAACAATATGTTTTTAACATGATCAGAAGCAGCGGAGGCTGCCAAATTCACTTTCAGCATGAATTTCTGTGCCTTGTTCTGACCTGACCTGGGGGCCCTGACACTAACTCCCCCACCTCCACCCCGTCTCCCCAGACCCCTGGCAAGTTCCTCTCTGAGGGACTCTACTTCCAACTTTCTAAAGCGAGATGGGACTAGACCTTAGTATCATAGGATTTGGGAATTGAATCCCACCATCATCAGTCATATTTAAGAAAACTTGAGCTGCTTCCTGGCACAAAATAAGAATCTTCAATACAATTGATTGTACTAAAACAAATAAACAAACAAAAGCCCTCAAGCTCACTGCCCAAGTCGATGCGGACGGTAGCGACCCTGTAGGACAGAGCAGTGCCGCCCCCTGTGGGTTTCTGCAGCTATAACTCTCTATGGGAATAAAAAGCCTCATCTTTCTCCCAAGGAGCACCAAGGGGGCTTGAACTGCTGGCCTTGTGGTTAGCCCCACATATGTGCCCCACTATGCCATCAGTGCTCCTGCCTGTCGGTTGTCGGCACATGTTAATCCTGGTGACCGAGCCTCCTCATCAGGGGCTCTTCATAGTTGTTGTCCGTGATTCCTAGCAGACCACCCCCTCCCTCCCACAGCCCCCGAGGTCCTCTCAGTGACTGAGAGACCAGGGACAGGGGAAGGGCTGGGGGCGATCCTTCTAGGGTCAGAGACTTTCCTTCCCAACAGAGCACCTCCTCCAGGCCCCCATGCTGTGTCCCCAAGAGAAATGGGTGCAGAAGACACCCAACTAAGACAGACAGACTAGAGAGGTGGGCCGGGATTCTGCGGCACATCCTAACAACGCCTGCTTGGTTTTGCAGTCTGGCAAGTTCTTGGGCAGTTCTCCAGCACCTTCGATCCAACCGCAGGGTCTGAGCTATGCTGAGGACGCGGCCGAGCACGAGAACATGAAGGCGGTGCTGAAGACCTCGTCCCCCGCCACAGAGGACGCCCACTCCGTGCTGGGCGTCCGCACCCGGAGCCGCGCAAACCGAGGTAACTGCCGGCCGGTGAAGGGGGTGGCTTCTTGGCTTGTCCGCTGTGGGGGCCTCGTCTGCATCACAGGGGGCACGCTGCTGTGCGCAGAAAGGGCTTCGAAGGGCCGTCCGCTCCCCTGGACTGTTCTTCAGTGCTGATTGTCTTACACACCTGCCGCCACTGACACCCTCCTGGCCCAAATCCCCAGAGCGTCATCCCCAATCCAAGCGACACAGTTTGGAACCGTCCTTAGGAATACATCCTTAGATTAAAGTCAAGGTCAACAAACGAATGGTGAACAGACCGTGTTTGGCCCACTGCCTCTTTGGGGACACAGGCAAATTTCTGTTTGCCGATGACCAACGGCTATTTTTGCACGACACTGTGTTGTGGCAGACTCGGTGACCCTCAAAACCTAAAACATTGGCCAACAGACCCTTAGCCCCACCCCCCACCCCCAAAAAGGTGGTCCCCCCTTGCTTTAAATGCAATCAAGCATCCTTTCTGTCGGTTGTATATCCTCAAGGGCAGAGGGGAAAAGCAAACGTTAAGGTGCTGGCGACGGGCTGGCGTTTCCAGAGCTGTCCTTCCTATCACGTGGAAGGAGTCTTTTGCTTTAGGTAGGAACTCACATTCACCGTCGGAGAACGTGTGCTCTCAGCTCCCAGGTCTCCCTGCTGTGCACGGTGACCGTAGTAACCCTTGTCTCCCAGTCTGCAGGATGGGAGAAAGCCTGGGCCATCCATCCGTGCAGTCACCCGAGACCCTCTGCAACCTGGTCCTGTACTGTCTCCCAGGTGGCTTACACTTGTCCCTGCACCGTTGGCACCTCCCCATGTGGCCCCGAGGCCCCCTCTGAGCTTACCCCTTCTCTGCATGTCCCTTTCCCACTTGCCTCCAGGGACAAGCTCCTCCACGCAGCCCCCAGCTTGCTAGACCAGACCTCTTTCCCTGCGCTGCACCCTGGAGACCTCAGGATAGGCGCTGGCCGACGAAACGCCTTATCGCCAGCAAGCAGAAGCTCCAGGAGTGCAGGCTTCCTCTTCTCGGGCACACAGCTCGGCAAAGCCATCCTTGTTGGCCTAACCAGGAGGCTGGGGCGGGTGAATGGGGGTGCAGGTAATACCTGAGCCGGGCCCAGGCCTGGGCATGCCAGGTAACCTGAGGGTGGGCCACCTGACACAGGAGGAACTCAGCAGCCCATCTAAGACCACAGTGCCCACCAGGCATCTACGTAGGCTTCTCTGGGCATTCAGAGGTGCAAGGCAGCAGAAAACCAACTGGAATCTGGAGGGCAGCTTTGCCAGCCTGCGAGGACTAGAGAAACAAACCCAGGGAGACTTTTATAGCAAAGAGTCTTGTATCTTAAGAAAACACCCCAGCCCAGTCCAGATCAAGTCCATAAGTCCAATATTAGCCGATATGTCCGATACCAGTCTATAAAATCCTCTTCAGACTCACACAACACATGCAATGACGCCGAATGCAGGAAAATCACAGGCCAGTGGGTGGAAGGAAAGTCTTGTGGCTCCAGTGGCAGTGAAAGCATCTCAGCACTGGCATGGGTCTCCAGGGCTCAGGCTCCTTCAGCGTAGCTCCATGTGGCTTGTCAAGAGGAATGTCTTGCAGGGAGACGAAGCAGAGAGTGTAGGTCTGGCCTCCAGGGAGCTATTCTTATATCTGTCTCCAAATGAGGTCATTAAGCTGCGCCGACCCGATTGACAGGCAAGCCTCCACCCCTATAACCTATTTAACAAGTCGACATGAAATTATGTCGCCACCACAGCAGCCATCTGGGGGGAGCCTCTCGAGAAGCCCCCTCACCGACTTCTTTTGGAATGTCTGCTGTCAGCTGTCTTAAATGCCTACAAACAAGGGTAGTGGCTGCACTTCAACAAAAAGTCCAAGGTCATGGCAGCTCCCAGTTTTCCCCAGAGGAGGGTAGGTCGCCGTTACACAGCACATAGAATCTCTTGGAGCTTCTTGGTAAACCAAAAGGGGCCACACAGCTGATCTAGGGAGGTTGTCTTGAGTGGGTGCTGGGCTTTTGTCTAGATGCATGAGGTCATATTCTCGAGCAGGGCTGTACTTCAGGCTTTGAGAAAATAACCCTGTGGAAGGGTTTTCTGATTTTGTGTGTGTGGTGCTATGGTACTTCCTCTGTCTTCAGGTTGGGTTTTGGTCTTCTCGGTTAACAGGGCTTCTGTTTTGAGGTACAGCTAAGAGTATGCCCAAAGGAGGGCAGCTTCTCTGTCCCCTCCACCCCCCTCCCACTAGTACACTCCCTGAGAGACACATGGCAAAGTAGAGAAGTCCTGTTTCCCCGATGCTTCCGTTGCTAAACTACACTATGAGCCTTGGCATACATTACCCAGGTAGCAGAGGAACAAAGCATAAGCTCTGTGGGATTCATCCTTTCTGAACGCTCTGCGTTCTAGGAAGCTTTTAATATTGAATTAGGTGGGGTGGGGAATGAAATCTGTCATTAGGCTTTGGCCATAAGAAGGCAGCCTTTCAGTGGCCAGTAGCAGCTGGGCAGGACCGGAAGCGCTGAGCACTTGACGTGACACGACACATTCCCCTCGACTGCGTGGCTCCCAGAAGACTGTGCTGTGCTGACTGCAGACGGCGCCCACTTCTCAGCAAAGCCGAGAAACTGAAGAGTCTGTGCAAACGAGCGAGCACTCCAGAGGAGAGGGCAGGCTAGGGGAGGTGAGAAAGGGAGAGGCAGACGTATTGTTAGCTGTCGTGAGTTGCCCTTGCGTAGTGACCCTGGGTATCAGAGGAGGAACCCCTGCCCCTTCCTGTACTCTCCTCACAGGCCCTGCTGTGCTTGACCCCCTTGTTGCAGCTGCTGCGCCAACCCATGTCATTGAGGGTCGCTCCTCTCTCAGAACACCTGCTTTACCAAGCGTGATGTCCTTCGCCAAGAACAGAACCCGCCTGAGAAATTGCCCAAAGCTCAGGCGACAGGGTCGTGCCATCTGTGCTTCTAAGGAGCTCTGTGGTGCACGTCTGCAAGCACAGAGCTGTTCGTGCTTCCAGCAGTTTGCTCAATAGGATCCACCGACACCGTGATTCAAACGCTTTGCTTCCACCCTCCCGACCCCTTGACCACCTTCCTGTGTGTATGAAGGAGGCAGTCAAGAACACCATGGCTGGGGTCCAGGGCACCTCGATCCTCAAAGCAACATCTTTGGAATGTATGACGTGCGCGTCAAGGGAAATTGTAAGTTGTCAAAAATGAAATGGAGCGTGAAGGTAGCTAGCCTAGGAATGAGTGAGCTGAAGCGGACTGAGAGTGCCCATGTTGAATCAAGTCTATATGGTCTGCTGGGCCGGGAATGACCATGGAAGAGGAAAGGCATGACATCGTCAAAGAGAGCATTTCAAGATCTGTCTTGAAGTACAATGCTGTGGGTGATAGGACAATATCCATCTGCCTGTGAGAAAGACCAGCTAAAATGATTAGTAATCGAAGCAACATAAACAAATGGTGCTAATTTAAAAAAAACACAGAAGGCATCTGTTCCGGACTGGCAAGGACAGAGGGAAAATGTTACTAGATCCGTACAGTATGGGTTTCTCTTTGCTGACTTACTGAGACTGTGCACGGTCAAACCCCTCTGAAGGACACTTCTGCTTCCAGGTGGCCTCTGATAGATGGTGGCAACCATCACTCCTACTGTGAAAATTGGAAGGCAGAGTGGAGGGAATGAAATGCAAAAGCCTTCTCTGAAAAGACATCACATAACTGGGAAAGGAACGAGAAGTAGACAATGTGAGGGTGCCGTCCGACCGCCTCCAGCTTCACCCAGGGGAAGGGAAATCAAACTCCACATGACCATTGCCCAAGGTCAATTTCAATGAGGCTGAGGTCAGACATTCCTCACCCCGCCTCCCCGGAACCCTTCTACCAGATCTACCCCAGCTGACACTCCTACAGCTCTGTTTTGTTTTTCGTAATCTTTTTATTAGGGGCTCATATAATTCTTATCACAATCCATACATACATCAATTGTATAAAGCACATTTGTACATACATTGCCCTCATCATTCTCAAAACATTTGCTCTCCACTGAAGCCCCCGGCATCAGGTCCTCATTTT